ATTTTCAAACTTCCTTCTGATGTGATTTCTACAAAGTCTAATTTCCAATAAGACTAGAGCAGACCGAGACTCTGCTGTTTCTTTTATTTTTCTCCCCAACAAAAAAGTAAAGTTTTCGGAAAATCTGAAGCTTTGCAGTGGGAAAATTTACATTTCTTTTCACCAGGTGATTGCACACGAAATATTCAACTTCCACTTATTTCCACGTACTGTTGTATCCACCAGACAAAATACTCCATGGGAGGTTAATGCCACACTGGAGGCTACATATGGATACATAGCTAAGTATTTACTGCTGTTCAGCAACGTTCTGTCCTGGACACTTCTCTCCAAATATAAGGTGGGATATAGTTTTCTGCTTTCTTTGGTGGCCCCAACAGTTTTGGAAAAGAGTGTTAATTAGTCACAAATAGCCTGCATTTACCATGCTGCTACACTGGAGACTGTGCAGTCAGGGAGGGAGGTATTCACACATATAAAAATAATTGAGGATCAGTGGGATACTCTGAAAACATTAACTCTGCTTTTTCATATGTGCAAATCCAAACATTAATGAAAACTTCCAGCATCAGTCAGCCAAAAGAATGAGGGTTTTTAAAATGCATTTCTATTTTAAAATTGATATTTAATAATCTACCTACTACTCACACAGCTTCTTTCCTGCAACTTCTACATCTTGATGGGGATGAAGAACTGCTTTGTTCTGCTCAGAGCATTTTGACTTGGTTATGCTACCAGATGTGGTGGAACACCTGCCTGAACTAACCTTTAAAAACAGTTAGGTAACACCATCATTGGTTTTAACTCACTATGATATCGCTCTTCACATTAATGCTTTCACCATCCCCTGTCTTAAGAACAGGACAGCTCTTCCTCCTCTTGAAGTCATCAGGAACGTTGTTCCTTACTCCAGCGGGACTTTCTGGACATGACATTTATAACTTTATCTCTTCACTGGATGTTGTAGTTGAGGGCTGGATTTTGACAGCTCGCTCTAACTGATGATGGTGACACCTAGCACACCTGCAGGTGGGGAGGTATATGCGTTGATCACAAAACCTTTTGCTGACATTCCAGATTTCGGATGAATCCCATGAATGGCATCAAGTCACTGCTCACATGGGCTAAGTTTAAGACACTGACTAGAACATAAAAGGTTGTAATGCACAAAGCTTTTTAGATCTCTTAGCAGAGATGATCAGTCAATGACCCTATGTCTAGATCTGGCCTGCAAAGCTGTTAATCTGGTCTGTGGAAAGAAAAGAGATACCTTCAGCAGATTGTACCTCTGAGGTCGTGTCACTGATTTTGGTGGGAGCTACTTATGAGAAGGAAATTGCAGGATTTTGTTCCAGGTACTGTCATGGAAAGAAAAACCCTAATGAAATTATCTTTGGAAGTATACTACTGCGAGTCAGGTATTTTTAAATTAAACCAACGTATCATATTTAATTGCATATATTTTCTAAAAGCTGTTAAGTACTAAAGGCTCTGGTTTATCTGAAACTGAAAAGACATCCAAGACTAAATTGATTGAAACATGACTTTTGGGAACTGAGACTGATCAGCTGCAGTAAGGACCAGATTGCTGACTGGGTGGCACTTTCCTTTCCAACAATATTGGGAACTTTAGATTTTGTTACAGATTGAAAGAAAATACTAGAGAGCACTGTGTTTGTGCAGACCAGCTGTAAACACAGAAAGGCCTACTGTGCCCATTTTGTAAAGGCCCTGAGCATCCCTCCACCGGGGGGTCTGGCTGCCAGGGCTTGGGGCCAATGCAGAGTCAGTGCAGCCAAGGGAGAGTACCCCCGGCAGTGCCACAGGGAGGCTGCAGCTGGGACCCCCCCCTTGTCCCCCGGGAGCTGCTTCCAGCCGAGGCCACAGTGCTCAGTTGCTACTTGAGTGACTGTTCCCACCGTGCCACTGCCCAGACTCAGCCCGTCCCCATGCGGTGATTTTCCTTTAGCTGGGAAAGCACGGAGTCAAGATCAACCGCAGAAGTCTTGCGTTTGGCAAATCCCACTTAGTGAGTCCACAAAGACCAAGAGGGACCCCCGGGTCTCCCCCTGGGATCACCAGGGGTAGGGCCAGGCTCTGCCTGTAGCTCCACACCTGCCTCCCCTGCAGCCAACCCAAAGGCTAATGCTATCTTCTGCCAGAGATGGATGAGGCCTCCCAGGAACACCTTCAGCTTGCTCAGTTTCTCTGGTGGGCATTGACTGGAGGAAATAACTTTCTCGAGAAACTTGAGATACGTGTGTCACAAAGATGTCATATCTGCCTTAGAAAGGACATCAGGATTTTTGCCAACTGCTGTTCACACAAAACTCTATTAGAATGGTGCCCCGGGGGGGCTGCAGATGGGGAAGGAGGTAGGAAACAGCTGTGCTGGTAAATATTAGATTTCTTTGTGCTCATACGTATGCCAGACAGGAGACAGGCTGAGACAATTAAGAAACTTCAGTTTTATAAGGACATGCTGACAAGACCATTAAGATTTGATTTGTGTGGCACTGGATCACCTACCAGTCCAAATGGATGGAGCAGGAGCACATGATAGCACTTCTGGTGAATTATCCAGAGTACGCAGTTTGGTATTTATACTGGCTTCATATTGTCTGGGTGGAACTGGCAATATCTAGTCTGGCATAAAGCTGGCGTGGTACGGACAGAATATACTCATACCAATATGAACCAGAACATTTTTTTAGCACATTCAAATCACATGCCCGAGGCACTTTGTACCATAAGGCTGCAGTGCTTTGGTGCAGTATTCAGTGCCATAAAATATTCTTGTGTGTTGCCTAACATAATTCTAACTGAAAAGCTGAGCTGCAATAACCAAAGGCTTACACAGAGTGTTCAGAAGCTCTGGTCCTTGTGAACAGCCAGAACCATGTGTCAGAACCAGGTTCACAGTCAAACAGATTCCTTGCAACACCCAAATACCGCTAGGAGATGTATTAATATCAACTTCTGCGTGTACCTAGTGCAGTCAAATGTGAGGAGAACAAGGAGCTATTCAGGCTGGCAGTAGTCCAGGACTACGAGATCCTGCCTACGTGCAGATTTGTGTTGGGCTATCTACTGAGGGCAGCTAGAGCAGGGCTCATCCAGGTTTGCTTATTATATTTACTGGCACTCTGAGGGGAGACAGGTTTCTAAATTTGGGTTTCATAAACTTTTAAAGCCAGGTACCACCACCAGCAGGGACACTGGTGGCAGCAGTGGTGGTGGCCACTGCTAGTGACAGCAGGTCCTGTACCTGGCTGCAAAGTATATATACTTGAGGAGAATGCATGAACACAATTTGGAACGTCTTCTACGCTATTCTAATCAATGCCTTCAAATCACGTTATTAGAAGGCACTGGAGCTAGTCAAGTAATTGTGTGCTTCAAATCTCATTTTCCTACATATGATGTAGCTGGCACAGTACTATCTAACAATTTTTGCAGTTTGTGGATAAATGTAGGTTTGTATATGTAACTGCTGGAGCATTATTCTTAATCCTGTGGGCTGGCAGGGGTCAGGAGGGAAGAGGCATCCATTGAGAAAGTCTGAAGAATCAAAGTCTGGTCTGTGTTTAGTTACAGCTACATGATCAAGCTGTACCAGTGAAGGCTTGCCATCTGCTGATATTTTGTTTAACAAAAAGTGAAAACAAGAACAAGGACATTTGCATTGCAGTTACTGGAGGGTTAATGGATAAAATGGCAGACAAAAAAGTTGATATGACTCAGGATCTTGAGAACTGCTGCCACTTCATAAAAATAATTCTGTGCATCTCTGTGACAGAAAACCATCACCATAAGCTGCTGCGGCAACCCAAGATATGCCTACTACAGAGCAATATGCAACTTCTTCTCCAGATGCCACCAGTAAGGAAGAGGGATAACAAGCCACCTATCTGAAGCCAGACACCCCTGGTATCTACAGCGAATGAGTTCCTGATAATGAGGGGGAATATATGATTTATCCAAGTGCCACTAGTGGCTTTTCCTGCAGCTGGGTGCTGAAGTTGTTTCTGCCTTTATCATATTGCCCCCTTCCCAATCCATTCTCAACGCTGTTATAGCTACTGGTACAGTGTATTTCAAGCTGCTAATAATGACTCCTTCAATATTTGTACTATAAAACACAGTGGGTTTACATACATTTTTTTTCAGAACATGACTCTATTGCATTATCATATTTTTTATAGAGAACAGATAAAATACAGATATCAGCACAAATGACAGACACTGTGACAAACTGCACTGATAGATCATAACTACCAGAGCAAGAACAATTTTTAGATGGTCCTTTACCACAGTGTTGCCAAATTGTCCTGGTTTGGGTTGGAATAGAGTTAATGTTTCTTTTTGGTAACCAGAATAGTGCTGTGTTTTGGATTCAGCATTGGGTTTGGTATGAGAAGAATGCTGACAGCACACTGATGTTTTCAGCTGCTGCTGAGATTTCAAGGACTCTCCAACTCCCTGTGTCCTGCCCGTGCGCAAGTGCACAAGAAGCAGGGAGGGAGCATGGCCAGAGCACCAGACCCAAACTGGCCAATGAAATATTCCATATCATGTAATGTCATGCTCACTGTATAGAGGAGGGGTGATCGGGAAGGGGCTCTCTCTCTCTCTCACTTCTGGGATTGTGATTGCGAGATCTTGGCATTTCGGGATCACTAGCCCGGAACAGGCTGTGTTCTGGTCAGCTGGTGGTGAGCAATTGCATTGTGCATTGCCCGTTTATATTTTCTATTACTGTCACTGTTTTCATTTTATTATCATTATTAAACTGTTTCTATCTCAACCTGCAAGTCTCCCTTTACCCCTCCAATTCCCTCCCCCATTCCCAGATGGGGGGAGGGTGGGTGAGTGGCTGCGGGGTGATTGGCTGCAGACAAGGCTCAAACCACGACACAGATGAACTGTGTTGATGTAGACATAGAAAACCTAAACTTGAACATTTTTGCTTTGTCCTACAGGGCTGTTGAAATGGACTTCTGTCTGTCCACCTCCTGAAGGATACTGTCAGGAGCGCCAGGGAAGAAGGAGAGCTGCTCACATTTGGACTCCAAAAGGTAAAGGACAATCTCCTTCAGACAGTGTGGCTAATTCCCACTCCCTTAATGAGCCTTCCTTTCTAAATGGCTGAGTCAGCATCACGACATGTGATTTCTTACTGATGTATGTATATGGCACCAATAGTGTGAGAGCAGATTATTGTTACAGATGGTATACAAAGCAAAGTAAGAAGTGAAAAGAAAAATGACAAAAGTTTAATTTAACAGAAAGTTCAGCATGTCTCTTACAAAATCTTCTCTAACTCCATCATAGAGAGTTTTGGCTGACTAGCAGATGGCCCTCTACAGTGACTGTTAGCCTCTTCGCCTTCCTTTTTAAAGTTGAACTGCATTACCTTGCCAACACAGCTGATCCCGCCAACCCGAGCCGTGAGACACCCCAGGCCAAGCTCATGTTTCCATTGTTACGGTGCAGTTCCCAATGCATCAGACCATCCTGGGATTACACATATCCTGCCAACAGGAGTCACTCCCCGAGGGGTTGTCATAACAGATTATTTATGCCAGCACTGCACAATTTTGCTACTGCAGTGTGTAAATCTTACGCACCTTTAAAAACAGAGCAGAGATTACTTCTACCTTATGAGCAGTCAGGTAGACTGGTAATGACTGAGCCTGCAGAGCTGCATAAATATCACAAAGTAACACCCTGTGCTTCCTACAGAAACAGAGATCACTATTGTTTATAGCTACAAGTTGGGTGTACGCTTCTCTGCTAAAGGATGAGCAGCTGTGGTTTCACTGTGCTCTCCAGGTGAACATCAGATCAAAACTACATCAAAATGACACATCCTCTCCTACTTGCCTTTTTTATTCTAATGTAAGAAATTAAGTTGGCTGCTGTTGTCCTTGCATCAGCTACACACATTTGAGATACTTTGTTCTGTTTCTGAACCTGAATTCTACACTTTTTAAAAAATAGCTTGTGCTTTTATAATGAAAATAAGCTCATGATTAGCAGATACCAGAATCTCTTATTATTCTCACTTTAGAGAGGGAGGAATGACAGGAAGGCTAAGGATGCTGATTTCAAAAGTGGTCTGATCTGAGACATTTTGGAGTTTCAAGATCATCCTGGGCTGCCACGAAGGCCAACAGCCCTTGGCTATAGGAAGTTCTGCTATATGTGTCTGGCTTTGGGCGAGGAAAAGATTAAGTTCTCAAAGGCAGCAGTCACTTTTGACAACGTTTTGCCCTAAGAGACAGCACAAAACTCACAAAAAAGCGGATGGTGGACTGAAAGTTGGACCCGTCTATCCACATTTCATATTCATTTTGTGACCCTTTCTACAGTTAGAGAAATGAATGACACAGGCATCTCTGCAATTCAGAATGAAGGTGTATCAGAGAGACAGACTAGTTTATAACAGGTACAGATTTTGCCAAGCTCAGGAACCACTATTGAAACACGAAGCCAGAACATCTTCAAATCCAGACCTTGTAAGCAACAAAATGCTGCCCTTTAACGACTGCTGGGTCAGTTCTGTCACTTGAAAAAGGGATTGAAATGAGTATTAAAATTACAAAAGTTTTAATACTGCAGTTTCAAAATGAGTTGTAAAATAAGCTGGGACAAGTTTGCACAAGAAACATTTGCTATAAAGAGTAAAACCGTGGGACTTGAGCCAGGCCAGCTGTGCTACTGCTCCTCCTTTGCTCCTGTACCAGTAGGTGCCAGAGGCTACAGACTCTGGAGGTAGAAAACACGTTTCACTGCTCTCATTTGATTCCCTCAGGCTGACACACGGAGTGGAGTTGACAGGCTCCACAGCAAGCTGTGTCTAGCCTTCTTTGGCTGGAGGGAGGATTGCTGACACATTGCGCTTTGAGTTTTGGCAGGAGAGACCATAAATGTTAAAGCAAAAGAAAAGAGACTTTAGGTTACCAACTCTTTAAGGCAGGGTTGTCTGTGGTATACAAGTTTACAAGCATCGTGAGAAACGGGTCATAAAAAGGTCCCCATCTAGTTAGATGTAATAGTTAGCTTTGCACAGGCTGATGTTCAAGTGAAAGGTGCTCAGGGAAAATCTAACTTAATCAAGCACTTGAAGTCAGGACTCAAGAGGGCTGGGGTCAAGAGACAGAGAAGGTCAAAGATAAGGGTCAGGATATGCAAGAAGATGTAGTGAAGCTAACAGGCAAACAATGTGAAAAGAAAAATATACGGGTCACAAATTATCCATTTGAAATTATACACGTAAAAAATTAAAAGAATTTTCATATGTGGTTCAGCAAGAGAAACCACATATGTTGATTCATTTTAAGAACAGCAACAAGAAGATCTAAATCTGGAGTAAGCATCAGCAAGGCAAAATAAAATACTTACATTTGCTTTATACGAAATAAAGGAGGAAGATGCTCACCCTCTCAAGTGTTACAGAAATGTGAAGTGACTTGAACTCAAAACTATTTAAATGTGTTATGCAGCAACACAAGCTTTAAATGCTTGTTTTTTTAAACAACGGGATCCAATAAATAATACAGACCAGTTACCGAGGGATGCACATTTACATCAGTCCCAGATAGTTTATCTTCTAGAAAACTGGAAACAATCTTTTCCTTCTTTTCAAGAATTTGTGAACGCACTGTAACTTTTTTCCACAGATGGATCAATTTTTATGATTTCATTATTTATTCAGCACTCATATGAAAATATTGTTGCCAGCCTCAGCATTTTCGCATTCTTACATCATATTACCTTGAATAACTGTGTTCGGTAATGTGTATACATTGAAGTAGCCAGTATACATCAGCAGTGATAAAGAGCATGAGGTAAAGATCCTAGTAGCTCAGTGGTTGACATATTTACTGAAGTGCTTTATCCACATCAGCTATTCCTATCTCTTCGCTATAAGCAGATTTAAAATGCAATTTAAATCAATCACTGCATATAGAAGAATGTGAATTCATTGTTGCAGGATAATTTATTTTGCTTTATCTTCAAAAATAGGAAAGATGTTGTTAAGAAATATAATACCCTCCATTTCAAGTTGGTGTGGTGTCATGTTATGTTTCTGCATTAAAGAATCTAACCCATCTCTGAATCCAGACAGCCCCAAGCCATCTATAAATGCATTATTATAGTTTGGTTAATTGAAAAACACCCTAAAAACATACTGAAATTATGTTTGGCTTGGTTTCCATACATATCAAAGAGAAAAGATTCCTGGTAAACCTGGAATCTGTATTTTGAACAAGGAGTTTGCCAGCTGGCTTTTCACATTCTGTTACAAGTTTGCGCATTACTTTAGAAAACGTACTGCGCTAGACCTGATTGAACATTATGAAATAAACCACTGTAATAACAATTTTTTTTGGTGGACCTAGCAGTTTCAAGTGTGATCTGCAAGCAAATTATAACAAAACTGCCTTGATCTTGAAATTCATTAATAAAATGTGTGAAACTTGCAACAGCTATCAATGCAGCACATTTCTTCCTCTTCCGCGCCCCCCCCCCCCCCCCCCCCCCCCCGGTTTCCATTGCTGAAATAATTTTACTTTGCTTGCAAGCCTTTCATTACAGATTAGTGCTCTCTCTTGCCTCACATTGACAGTAAAAAATTGTTGCTCACCTTTTGTACAGGGTTGGACTGGACCCAAACTCCGCTTAAGTCAGTGGGACTGGCATTGAATCATTCCTCCCGTGTCTGGCAGGATGCTCCGCAGACACAGAGGTGGCAAAGCCCTGGCCCAAGAAGCTTACGCTGCACCAGAGGCATCAGCGACCAGCAGCAGGCCATGTTAAGAAGGAAGACAGGGATGGTCAGCAGCCATGGGCAGAGAGACTGAAAACAGATCGCTGAAGCCATTTTGTTTAGTGTATCTATCTTAACCGCTTTTTTTTTTTACCACCCTCTGAATTCTTTTTGGTTTAATACAGTCAAAGAGAGTCGGGATGGAGATTAGCAGTAGGAAGGTCGTCAAAAAAGTGAGGCCCGATGGAAGATCCGAAAATGGTGGTGGATTGGGACCTCCTGACCGTGCTGCGAGGTCGGGTGAGGTGGCAATGGAGGCCCGGCAGCTGGCACGCCATTGTCAAGGCTCCAGAAGCGTAAGGGAATTTACTTCTCCTTTCTCTAAACGCGATTTTTGCACCAGCGTAATGGCGTGAGCGTGGGCGCGTGATTTTCTGTAACCGGGCCTTGCCCTTGCGCTGCGTGGGCACTGAGGGCACCGAGGGCCGGCCCCCCCTCCCGAGCCCCCGATACGCGGTACTGGCGATATGGCGCCGTTACCGTGCCACGGCGAGGGGAAACAGCTTTTCGGGCGGAGAACGCGGCGGCCGCACCCGGCCAACATGCCGCGCCCGCCCCCCCCCCCCCTCCGGAGGGCAAGGCCGTGAGCGGGGAGGGGGGGGAAAAGCGGCGGTGGCGGAGCCCGGGCCACCGCGCAGGCGCCCGGCGGCGCTCGGCGAGGCGGGCCGGCGGCGGGCCCTGCCGGGGGGACGGTGGCGTTGAGGGCCGCGGCCCGGCTCAGCCCGCGCTCCGCCATGCCCGTGCGCTTCACGGTGAGGCGGCGTGGGGCTGCCCGGGCGGGGTGGGGGTGCGGGGTGCGGGGGTGCGCGCCGCCGAGGGCCGGGCGGGGCCCCCGGGCCTGGGGGGCGGCGGGCCCCGAGGGCCCCGAAGCCGGCCGGAGGAGGGGGTGCAGCCGTTTTTAGGGTGTCGCGGGCGAAGCGGGAAAGGGGAGACCCTTGTCCTGAGGTGCGCTGGCTAATAAAGGCAGAAAGAATTCAGTCGTGTGGGTGACAAAGGGTTCAGGCTGCATTTGTTCCTGAAATGTTATTAAAGATACTGAGAAGTTTTTGCATACGTTTTGGTGCATGAAATTACTCGCTGCTGTTTCCGGCAATCCTGAGAGCAGTTAAGTAGTTTTTGCTCTTCGGTGGGGTTGGGTTGGGAAGACGCAGAGCGACCTGCCAGCTTAGCTGAATCCTGCAGAGGCCTTGTTGGTGTTTTTGCCCATGGAGATGCGTTGCCAACACAAGCGGTGAAGCTCAACAGGCACCTCTCTCTTTGCTGCAGGGGCTGAGTGAATATAAGAGAAACTTCAAATGGAAAACCCCAGAGTTTTGTAGCCCATCCCAACAGCAGAAATCGTTGTGGGCAGGACTTCGGTCGGATCAGTTTGGTAAGTGCCCCCGAAAGCTGCCCCTTTGATTGCAAACCCCGGCGCTGTCCAGGCCAGCTCCGGTAAGGATGCAGTAGGCCTAAAGAGGTTTGCTGTGATTGCATGCATGGCCACAGTGAACTGGTAGTGTTTGCAGTTTGTGCACTTCATACAGTTAGAAATACATTTTTGCTCATCGCTTAGAATATGTTTTTGAATGCCATATTCTTTCTCTCTACACTGAAACTTTCTTTTGATGTTAGTGCTGTTTCTATAAAACCTGAAAAATACGTGGTTTCTGACATGCAGCATAAACTGGGTCCCGAATATGAAGCACAGATGCAGTGTTAGCCCATACAGGGAGTGTAGAAGGAGGCATTGGGTAACCCGTGGTGCATGGAAACAGTAAGTACAATTCATAAGGGGAGACTAACTTGAGGTAGAGTTTGATACAAAGTAAAATTGTTATGAAGACTAACAGGGACAGCAAACTGGAAAAAAAAAAGATGAACATTAAATGAAAAAGATTGTGATGCTATTATCTAGGAGTTAGGGGTTGTAGACATTATCATAGCAAGAAAATATGGAATTGGGAAGTAGAAGGCAAAGGAAATAGCATCTGGGTTGAAAGGCCCATGGGGAGTTGAGGGATAGGAGTAAGCTAAAGAGTGATGACAACTGCAGTGCTTTGAAAAGGAGCAGTAAAAAACAGGAATTATTGTAGTGGCACAAGACAGATTAACAAAATTGTGCAATTCAGTGCAACCGCAGTATGTAGTCTGTGTCATTAGAGTCCAATATGTCCATTCCTACAATATGATAAGTGTTCTAAATTACAGCCTGGTAATTAAGAACAGACCACGGGCAGTAGCGTTTGTTTTTTGTTGATATGCTAGACATTTTAATTAATCATTTAATCTTGCTAAAGATTATGCTTTATATATATATTACTGCTTTCTTCCATTACTGCAAAATATATATTTCTTTAAGCTTGCTTTCCCTAGCACATTGCTCTGTGTATGGGTACCTGTATTGAAGAGTATAACTTCCACAAATTCTGAAACATCTGAACATCCAAACACATTAACTTTACGAGACTTGCAATAAAGTAATGAGTTAGTAATACAGCAGGTTCTCCTCCTACTGATGTTGTAGCTATGTTTTTGTCCATGATTGGTGTAGTTTTCCTATGTATTTGTGTTAATTTTCACTTCCACCTCTTTTCTGGCCGTTTAACTATCTATGTCTTCAAATGTCTCTCTTGACACCTCACGGGACTTGCAGATTGTAACTCATAATTCACTTACGTTTCTTCCTGGTAAAACACATAGTTGGCAGTTTTAAGGATGACTTGGAACATCACTACAAAAAGTTAACAGCTGCAGGTGCTCTGAAGTTGTTCCTGCTACTTTTCCAGTGTTTTTCCATTGGAATTATTTCCTACCACCTGTATGTGTAGTCGGACATCCAGACACTGTGTATACCTACCTTTCACCATAGCTTGTTCTCTCTTTCTGTGTTGCTTTTTCATGAGATAGGAGTTTATCCTAGAAAGTGTTTCTTTCAGCCAGTTAGGGACCTTCACTTATTTTTCTGTCGCAGTTGAACACTTTGCAGTTGGATTATGATTTTCCTCTTTAAATGAGTTCAGTCATTCAATCCTCTTCTTAAAATGGTGGGATAATTTTATTTTAATCTGCCATTCTTTAACTCGATGCCTGGTTTTGTTACAGAGTCTTCTTACAATTTTGGAAACGTTTTTGTGTTCTTGCTGTAAAAAATCACCAGCTATCCGAGGTGGTTTTAAATCACAGTTGTATTAGATGGATAAGGATCTGTCACTGTCCTGTCTCAGTCGGTGAGAACCTGTTCAGCAAGGTGTATTGTGCATGTGTAATGAGAAGTGTTTGTGGCATACTTTATCATGGCAAGTTGGTTATGTTGTATCCATGTTAACCACGTTCTTTTCACTGGCTGTGTTAATTTTGTTGTTGTTTAACTCCCAGAATCAATCTGCAAAAGATTGTCCTGTGGCCATATTTGCTTTATAAGGTTTTATCCAACATAGTCCTGGAGCACCATGTTCCCATCTCTCTTTAGTGGAAAGGAAAGGCAGTCACAGATAAGAAAGAAGACAGAATTTCACAGTCGTGCCCCTAATTCCTAGGCTGACATTGTTCAAAGATAACTAAAATAGTTATTTCTAATAATAATTTGAATGATAAACTTTCACTTTATTCCTTGGAATAGAATGATCTTACGTCTTCAGTAGCATGTTTTTGTTAAGCCTAATATGTCTTACAGGAATCACCAGAGAACCAAACTTCATTTCCAAGAGAAGAGTACCTCACCATGATCCGCAAATTTCAAAGTCCTTTGAATGGACAGCAGACTGTGATTTGAATGACCCACTTGAAAGTGAAGCTCCTAGGACTGCAGAGTTGCACACAGACCACAACAACAATGATGTGAATCAGGAAGAAATTGAAACACCAGAAGGACCCAGACTTCCCCCACAAGTTCAGTCACATTCAGCAGATTCTCCAGGTGAAACAGTTCTTGCCCTTGCAGAAAACAACATGAAGAGATTGCCTTCTGCAGCTCCACCAAATCAAAATGAAGCATTTTCATCTCCGAAAAAGGAATTGCAAAAAATGAGTAATGGGGTAAGGGAAGCTTTTTTTTTTTTTTTAATTGACCATTATAAAAATTTCTAATCTGATACTTACAGTAAATTAATGCACATACACCAGCCTCCATTGTCTTACCCCTCTCCTTAGTTCTGTATGTTGATATTGTGTTGTAGCTTCTGCACTGGGAAAACAGTACTTTTGAGACCAGATTTTGGTTCCACTTAGGTCAATCAAAATTTGCCCTTCACGTGCCATCACTATCGATTTCAGTTTAACAAGGATTTAGCCAATAATATATATACTTTTTGGGGTTGTTTGCTATAATGAGAAAATGTACTTTGCATTCATTTAATTCATACAGCCAAACCCCAAACCACTGGTTTGAAAGTGTGCATTGAAAGATATTTGACTTGCAAAACGTTGTAGGAAAAGGAACAATCAGTGTTATTTATTTCTTTTTTATGTTGTCAGCTTCAGAGAGTCCTTCAGAGGAAAGCAGGCATAAATATTTCACGTTTAAATACATTCCCCAGAAGTTCTGAATATCAAAGCCAATTTGTTTGGAAGAGTCCTCGTGAAAGGTCACCAATACTTGCAGCTGAACAGGTAACTTTAAAGAATCCAAAAAGTAAATGAATACTTTCTTTTATGCATCAGCAAAGTTGCTTACCTTCCAAGATTTCTTTTCTTCCTCTTTTGGCAGGGGACCAACAAACTTGAATGTTCTTACATGATTTTTTTTTTATTTTATCTCTCAATATACAAAAGTGCAGTACAATTAGATTTGTTTCCCTATGATTCTTTATTGTAGTCAGGTCTAATTACTCATTCTCCTAATCCCTGGTTGTATTCTGTCCTTTTTAACAGGACCATTTTCTTCTGTTTACGTTAGTTTACTGTAGGAGCTCTAAGATCCTACTCAATGTTACCCTTCATTTTTATTATTTTTATATTATCCAGTATATAGCTAATCAACAGAGGAATGTTCAGGTGTTCTGTGTTGTAACAACGTGTCTTGCCACTGAAATCATTCAGGTTTCACTATTTATTCTCATGGTGTTTTATGGGTTACCACAGTTTCTTTGTCTCCATCTCTGTGCACATACACTTCTAAGACCTAAAGCGCATCTCTAGTGTTTTTTATTTTGTGAGAACCACTTCTATTTACAAGTGGAGACTTCTGATTTTAAGATACTCTTGTGGCATTTTAATACATCTTACGAAGATTGGAAATGCTGCTATTTCTAATCAGACCACAAAGAGTAACTCTGATTGTGAGACTGCTTTGTATTTTCAATTCACTGTTACTGAGATCAGCAAGTAGGAGACTCCATCCATCTTTTGGCATTTTACAGTATAAAATAGGCAATTCTGCTTTTATTTTGACTTCTGTTTCTTCACTAGAAGCATATACATTAATGAGATTACTACAGATACGTGCTCCGTTTTTACCCACAGGTAGCAGATTTGTTCAGTAACAGCTTTCAGAGGCAATAAATGTTGATAACTAGGTTCAATCACTATCCTGTCTTTTTCTGTTGAAATGCCAGGAAAGTAAACTTACTGTGAGATGTCTGTTTCCCAGCAGTCTCTTATCCAAGGAGAACTCACTGAAACGCATGACAATAGTATAGAAGCCAAAGGATCATCTGAGGAAGAGGCAGGTCCCAGAAAGTCACCTTATGGAAAATTTCATACAGAATTCCATTTGATTCTATTAGAAATCAGTTTGATAATTCATTATTGATGCTTGTGAGCATTGTGCTATTTCAGAAGAAAGACTCTGAAATCCGAAATAGCAAACTTTTCCCCAGTTTATACAGAATAAGAATCCTTAAGTCTGTAGGCATTGTAAATCCTTAGATAAATAGAACTTGGAGAAAAACTAATTATGTATAATTGTTTGCACGTTCTAAACTCAAGATTTTAATTTCATGGTAAAAATTATACATATTAACAAACTGATATTCTTTTGATTCCTATTGATATGATGGACTATATACCTGAATACTGAGTAATGACAGTACATTTCCCATGAAGAGATTCTGTGAAAATATCAAAGTTATCCAAGTTAGGTTATAAGCCAGACCTAAAGCCTCATAGCAAAGCTGGGGAAAATGCATGCTTGTGGCATATGGCATGTTCTTTTAATTCAGCGCCCCACGAGCAGATGATACCTGACCATGTAGTGAGCAAATTTTGTACCTTGGTTTATAATACAGTATTGTTTGGAAAATAGTGGATAGCTCAAATTACACAAGCCCTAAGCATCCAATTCTAAAACACAGAACAGTTGTCTGTTACTTATGGACTGGACATGTACTGAGGACTCAGAGAGGTTTTAGGGCATATGTTTTAGAAAAAATGATCCTACATACACCTCTGAAGGTGAACTGTCTTCCCAAATAACCAAAACCTCTGTTAGTGAACTTCAGTAAGAATAGCATTTGGCCACAGGTTTAACTGTCTTAACTCAGTCAATTTTAAATGTATTTTTATCAGATTAAATGTCTCTTCAGTTTGTCCTAGAAGTTAATTAGTCCGCACATGCTGTATTTGTACACATGGCTGTCTCTCTACTCGAGTGAGTGTTTTTGCATGAATTGGTTAACTGATTTTGAAAATTTAGTCTTAAAGTAAGCAAATCACGCTCTTTTTTGTTTTCTTTCCCCCCAAGGTTATTTGCAGCACAGGTAAATCCATACCTCCGTTTAAATCTCCAGCAATTACTTCTGAAACTGCACATGAGAGAAATTTCAAAGGGTCTCATCCTGTTAAGGGCCTGCACGAGACAGGTGGTTCAGAAGAGAAAGAATTTCCGGTTTGTGAACAAGTAAATATTTCCCTAAAAGAAAGACATCAGTATACTTCTGTAATTTTGATTATTCTTTTCTATAATGTGGGGGTTGGTTTATTTTGAAATTCTTAAGTTACTCTTAAGTTTAGAGCTGTTGCTAATGACACTGGACTCAGTAGTGGCTTTGCTATAGAAGACCGAAAATAACACTATTTGCTCTTAGGGGTTTCTGTAGTGGGTTCTGTAGTTTCTGTGGTGGATTTGCTCAGTTCACAGTGTCATTTTAAGTGTGTTTATCCTGTCACCTTGACTTATTAATTTTCAAGTGGGTTCTTCCTTTTTGTGTTTTTTTTTTTTTAAATTGAAACTGTGTTTTTAGTCATTAGGATAGTTTCTGAAATCTAATTTGATTTATACTCTCATTGGTACCAGTGTAGTCTCTTGGTATGCAGGAGGGCTGGATGAGAGGTCTGTAACTTTTTTCATCTCATAAATCAGATATAGTGTGAATTAAAAAAATATGTTGATGTACGGAATATGCCACAGTTGGAACTGATTTTCACTCAACAGTTGTAATTTGAAGAAACATGGAGGGTTACAATTTATTTGCCTTTGCCTTGCTAAGTTGAAAGGTAAGTAATTATATTTAGCACAGGGCTGTAACGGGACATTGTGTAGCCTACCTAGGCTCTGTTACTCAGTTCAAAACATTAAAATGTCTTTTATGAAAGTAATTCAGCTGTCTGAGGCCTTGCATTTCCTTGTGTTGCTATTGGCCTGGCTAACCAACTGGACTTTTAGGAAACATGTCTATGGCCATTGTACCAGATACATATAATGAAAAGGAATTGTTTCAGATTGATACCTTGTAAAAATAGGTGAGAACAATTTAGACTGCATGACAGCTAGCCTGTTTTGCAAGGTGGACATATGAATGTCTGGTTTTATAGCAAGCTGTCAAGTGTAGTGTTGTCTAAATCCCTGCAGGCTAGCTAACCATCCTTCAGGTAGAAGGACTACATATGAGTATCTTCAGTACCCATCTCTGTTCCTTAATAAAAACAGAAAGAGCCATTGTCAGACATGTTCACTAGTACGGTTACTGAGCAAAATGCATACTTAACGTGGAGTGCTTGTGGCTCAGTTTAAGCTGTTGGTGCTTTGAGGTTCTTAAAGATGATTGCTGGCTTGGAGGCTTTATAATTGAAAACTCAGACCTGCCCAGTGCTTTAAATCTCATTCGGGAGTGGGGAGTTTTATGTCCTCTTTTGCCTCTTCTAGCAGATGTGAAGAAAGCTTGAAAGGCATGAGGCTTTCAGGAAGCTTTTCTTTGTTTTTAATATTGGAAATCCAGGTTATGTTTTCCGTAGAGCTAGTAAAGTGGAGGAAGAGAAAGGAATGTTCATGAAAATGTCTAAACCACTTTTTGGTTATACTGGTATCTCTTCTCTGATGAGTATCTTTGAAAGGTTTTGGGAGATTTTGGTGGGCATTATTTTTTTGCTTTCCTTTATTTTCTTTACTTGAATCTGAACAATATCTGTGAAAATCTCTAGCAGAATCAGAAATCATGCATGAGATTGCTGAGAGGATAAAATAAGCAATAAAAAAAAAACTTTGATGTGAAAACTGAACAAGTCAACATGACCGTTTATAAACCAGAATGGTAGCAAATAAAAAATTTGCCTTTTGGCTTATTATAAATTGGTTTATCTTGCTTGACTATAAAGCTAAGAGTTTTAATTTTTTTTTATTTATTACAAATTCCAGAAATATACATGCTAAGTCTTACATAACTCAGGTTAGAATGCACAGGTATTGTATTATTTTATTTCTGTGTTGCACATTAAATTCATTTTGTAAAGCGTAAAAAATGGATCATCTGACTAACTGAATGTTGCACTCAGAATCTTAGCTTTGGCACTTTGCTAGTTTATTTTTCTATTAACAAAGGAATGTAATATTCTTGTTTGTATTAAATATGCAAAGTAGTTACCACTAAAATAAAATTAACTTTCTGCAAAAGCTTGATGTCAAAAGGAATATGAGGGTTTTCAGATTGTTAGCTAATATGGTATTTTTAAAATTATCTTTGCCTTAGAGTAAGAGGGAAGAACCGTTTCAAAAGCCAGGAGAAGATGCAGCAAAACAAGGGAAATCAGAACAGAAACATCCTAAACAAAAAAATAAGCAACATATCAGTCCAAAGCCCCTCTCTTTACATACAAGTCGTGGGTATGTATAAAATAGGAAAACCTAGCCTAGTGAATAGGTGTACAGCAGCCTAGTATTTAGAATTAGTGGACGATGGACCTTTAACCATGCCATTCTACAGTTGCAGGGGCAAATGCCCCCTTGCAGCGCTGGACTGAGCTGCCTGTGGGTACATCTAAGCCTTAGTTGACATCTAAGTGTTAACTTCCATCCCCTTCTCTGGGCAGCGGAAGTGGAAGCTTTGTAACCACGCTTGTTCAGTTGAACCTTCTGGTGCAATAATAGTATTATTAATAAATTTAACATGAAGGCAGTTAAATTGGTGCAGTGCTGCTACTAAACTTTCAGTGAGTGCTTTGGATGTTCTAGTCACTTCTCAAACTTCTCTGTTGTGCTTGTTCCATGCCTTAAAACTGTGATGATTGTACTTGGTGTCTGCTTTTTCTAGTCTGTACCACCTTCTGTCCCAAAGTAGCAAAAACAAACAGACGAGGTAAAGGGAAATAGATTTGTCCCATTTAGGGTAATCTGACAAGCGTGGATATAAAATGAAATTGTATGCTACTGAGGGCTTTCGAGGTATCTTTTTCTTCTGCCATATGCCTACATTGCAGGAACTGAACTCATGTTTTCCATTTTTTACACATCTGAGATACGTCAAGAGGAATAGAAGTCGAGAATGGATGTAGGTTTTAGAATGCATAAATTAATCCATCTCCGCTTTGTGCTTAATGTACGTCCCAGTGATTGCTTTCATTCACATGACTTTCTGGCAGTATTAAGGCATTAGATTGAAGATGGGAGAGGTGACTTACCTAGGTCTGAATGCTGTTGGATATTGGGAGATAATTGCAAAACGATCACCCAAAATGCCATGAAATAAAATTGCTTTATTAAAAAATGAGTGGATATAGTGTAGTTAAAACCTTTAACTCTTTGGTTTTCATAGCTCTTTGATATAGTACGTTGTAGTCAGTTTTGCAGTGAGTAGTGTGTAAAATGCATGATCATTTTCTCTGACTTTTTTCATTTAAGAACAAATTTCTGCTTCTTATTCCTTCAGTGTGGTAGCACAAGGCAAAGGTTTCCAAAACAGTCACTGGGCAAATAACTGTCAAAATGTGCAAGTTCTCAGTATGCACAGGCCTGTCACTTTGTGTGCAACCTGCAATGCATGGCCTGCTTTTACAGCAGTGATGTGTTTTTTGAGCCAATCCATTAGTTTTGCAACCAAAACTGGAGGAATTCTGTCAGTTTCAAAGAAAGGGACATATGGAAAGAAATTTTGAATATAAAGGGATTTTTTTGCCTTGGTATTTTTCTTTTTACAAAGTGCATTTTATTCTCTGACTTACAGCTTTTATGATCTGTTTCTGAAGAAGGACTGAAAAAGAGGGCTTTTTCACTGATGCTGAATATATGAAAATGAAGTTAGTAATGTTCTGAAGCAAGACTAAAAACAAAAACCTCTTTAGATTTAAGCTAATAAATCCATGGTTCAGTGCTTAAGGACTTGAAGTACTTACTGATTATTGCCTGCCTTAGGTTAGATGTTAATTTTTCTGCATATGTATGTGTGTGGCAGAAGGGAAGATAAATCCATCTTTTCAAGTACTGAGGTCTTTTGAAGATCAAAGCTAGTGGGACACAGTTAGATGAATTATATTGACCGTTGTTCTGTTAGTCGGATGTTTCTAGCTGCAACAATTCACCCCACCCATATGCAGAGTGCCTTTAGAATGGAGTTGGTAGAAGGAAATGTCTCAGACACGTTGGTGCCAAATCAGGCATTTTCACTTAAATGCACCTTCATCTGTGACTTAAACGAAGATGCTCCACTTTGCATTGAAGTAATTGAGGCGTATGTGCGTATTATGTTCTGCTGATTTGGCTGTCAGAACAAAAGCTGCTGGCAAAACAGATGTGAGGAAAAACCAACAGCAGTAACTACTTGAAGAGCGACCAGCTGTGAATGAGGTTTTTCACAGCTTTCCTAGTTGTCTTGGTATGGATGAGCTGTGTTTCAAAGCATTTGTTTTTCACATCTCAGCCTGGCATTTAAGTGCAAGTATATTTACAATTGTTGATACAACTTTAAAAGTGCTCTTAGAGAGCATTCTGGATATCAAGCTTTACTCTTGCTGTCTTTTTTACCTCTCCTCCTTCTTGATTTCTTAGGAAGATGAACACTGAATATAGGTCAAAATTTTTGTCTCCAGCCCAGTATTTCTACAAAGATGGAGTCTGGTCTCGTATCAGGAGTAAAGTTCCCAACCAGGTGAGTATTCTTAAAAAAGCCTGACTATGCTTTGTATTTTGATTTTTTTATACAACAAACTTTGGCTTGTGGCGTTTATAAGATACAGTTTTAGAAAAAAAAGACAGTGTGACTTAGAGAGTATATTAACATTCAAAGTGAGGGAGGAGCTTTGTTTCCCTTACAAGTCAGAATCATCTAGAACAATCTCTTGGAGCAGATAATTGGAGTGTTGATATTCAGCCCAGTTGTAACAAGCATAAGTTTTCAAAATGTAGAATGGGAAGATAGGAGGTTCCAAAGGAATAAAAAGAAAAAGCCAACATATGTATCAGCCTAGGTCAGCTTGATACTCAAGATCAATAGCTTGCCATGCTGAATCCGTTCAAAGCAGTCAGCTGAATTCAGTCATACAAACACAAAATTAAGAGTGTCTCTTGCGAGTTTCAGCCGAGCTAAGTATTTTCATGTAGTTTTTTCAGTAACTTATCAGTAATATACTCCACAGAAACTCCTTGGTCAGAACTCCAAAAATGCTGAACAGCTTCAGGACCATAGCATTTCTGAGCAGGATTACTGAGTATGGTTTCCTGAACTAGTCAAGTAAATCAAAACCATTAGCGGTGTGGTGAGAAACTGTTAGAGCTCATTCTACAGCTCTCACATTTCACTGAAGTGACTTAGGGTTCTCCTGGCTGGTAGAGGGAGCCTTCATGAGACACTCTGTGTTGCTAAATGTGTGGCAAATACTTGGAAATATGAGTTTCCTCATCAGTTGGGACAGGGCTGATGTGGAAGACAGAACTGGAGTGGGTGCCTCTAGGGTGTTTGGCTTTGAGATTTTGGCAAAACGTTTTCTGGAAATTACAGTAATAGTGTGGTAGCGTTCAGTTTTATATTTTCTGACTGGACTTGATCTAGCAAGTCATTTTATTTCTCTTTTTAGGAAAAAAGAAATATCTATTGAATATATATGAAATACTGAATGAGAACTAGTTCTCAAAGTTTAAAGTATATTGTAGTTTGAGATAATTTGTAATCAGACTTTGTGTATGCATGCATGAGATAATCCGTTATGTGAAAACAGCCTCATGAGAGGACTAAAAACAAGCACTATTTTTATTTTTCACATGTATTAATATATGCATTAGACTTAGTCTTACCGTCACGAAGGCTGTAGAATAATCTAAACTATTGCATGCAGCCTCACTGTAAGCAGTATACAGAATGTTTCTGTAGAATATTACATAATTTTTCTTGCATGTAAGGCTTTCATCTGGAGGCTGGATGTTGCATCAGTAGCATTCAAAACAGTCAGGAGCAGTGCTCAGCTTCAGGAGCACCTGACTGGTAGGGAAGTAAGAGGAAAGGCATGCATTGCCTTGAGTGGATGGTATTTGTGGCACAGCCAGCTGGGAGGAGTCACTGTGGTAGAGTGAAGGAAAAGGATGAGTAGACTGGGAGTGGAGGGTGGGTGTTCTGCTTTGTCAGGCAGGATCTTCTTTGGGTCGTGTTTGAGAGATGTAGGAAGTAAATATATGCGGTGTAGGAGAAACCAAGAAATTCCCACACTGTAGATAGGCATTTTGGATGTGTGTGACTTTTCTATGGAGATTTTCTTGCTGATAAGGGAACTTCAGGGAAACTAGAAGGAAGTCACTTGGGAGTAGGCATGAAGAATTAAAGGTTTATTAGGATTTTTAGGGCCATCTAAATGAAGGAGCTGTGCTGAGGAGCTGGAAGAGCCAAATTAATTTTAAGACTACAATAACAAATGTTTTACTGGTAGCAAATGTGCTTAGATTACATATACGTTTTTATGTATGCATACCTACATTAGATCCTAATACAAGTTCATGTAGAAGAGACTTTTATAATTGGAGTTACCTGAATTCCTCCTCTCTCTCCTATACTTTAAATCACATGCTTGTGAGCATATGTCATGGTTTAACCCCTGTAGGCAGCAGAGCCCACACATCTGCTTGCTCACTCCTCCGCAGTGGGATGGGATTGAGAATCAGAAGGGTAAAAGTGAGAAAACTCGTGAGCTGCCATGAGGACAGTTTAATAGGGAAAGCAAAACCTGTGCACGCAAGCAAAGCAAAACAAGGAATTCATTCACTGCTTCCCGTGGGCAGGCAGGGGCTCAGCCATCTCCAGGACAGCCGGGCTCCAGCACGTAACCGTTACCTGGGAAGACAAACGCCATCACCCTGAGCATCCCCCGCTTCGTTCTTCCCCCAGCTTTATGTGCTGAGCATCACACCATACGGTCGGGGACATCCCTTTGGTCAGGGGGGATCAGCTGTTCCACCTGTGTCCCCTCCCAGCTCCTTGTGCACCCCCAGCCTGCTTGCTGGTGGAGTGAGGTGAGGGGCAGAAAAGGCCTTGACTGTGTAAGTGCTGCTCAGTAATAAGGAAAACATCTCTGCATTATCAACACTCTTTTTAGCGGAAATCCAAAATATAGCCCCATACTAGCTACTAGGAAGAAATTTAATTCTATCTCAGCCAAAACTGGTACAACATATCAAACTAGTTTTGCTAGCAGACAAAGAATACTATTTAGATTGTGTAAATGTGGTACTGTGTGGGATTTTTTCTATATAGAGTTTTTTTAATTTGCTATTGCCTTGTTAATATTTCCATATATATCACTGAAGGTTATAACTCTTCAAGAAGTTTTTTGCAGGTGTAGTGGAAACAAAGAGCAATATTAAGGCTTGGAATTTTCTAGTCTTCAGGACACATCCATCAATATTTTTGTTCTAAGAACTACAGCATGGGATCCAGCATGGCTAAAATAGTAGGACTGAATAAAATATTTCATTCATGGTTGAGACATAAGAAAGAATCAAGCCATTTGACAAATATGTTAAGAGTGGATTAATGAAAGTATGCAAAACTTGGAGAAGTGTCAAGTGCATCGGTTTTGTTGCAAAGCAACAAAGGTACTTTGGCCATTCAAAGTATAGGCTGCTCAACAGTCCTTTTGATTTCTATGTGATTATTCCATACCTGTTCCCATACTAATGCACTGACATGAAGAGAAATGTTTTTCAAAGCTGTATCTAACCTCTGCCTCTGGGTTATTGAGACTCACCCCTGCTAAAGGTGCTTATGGAACATCTTAAGTGATTAGATGATAAGCTCTGACTGATTCAGTCTAGTTTTTCCCTTAGTTGCGACTGCACATGGGTAAGTTTGGGTCCAAATCAGACTTTCTGAAGTTCTGAGCCCAAACAGGCAAAGACTGTAATAGAATCCTGGTATGACCTTAGCTGTAGAGATTACTCTTAGACTGTTACTCTACAGTATATTATTGAGGGTTGATTTTCAGCAGTTGAATGAAAAAATCTCTTTGAATTATGCTTTTGAAAAATTGATGCAGGCAATTCATAATCGCAGTAGGACTCTCCAAGGCCTGTGTCCTGCTGAGGTAATGCTCCCCGCTGAGTCACTGAAGGAGATGGTTGTCATTTGTACTTCTTCACTATTCACTGGAGACATACTATTCTTCCTCCCCCTGCAGTGTCCTGTTGCCCTGGATTTATATTCCTTCTGTTGTGGGTATCATCATTATTTTTTTATTCTTCTACAGAAAGTGAATAATCCAGTTAATCACTTGCATCTCAAACTTTAAACTCTCATCTTGGAATCACAAGTATATATTTTTAATGGGTTGTTTGAAAGTTTAGTGGGTCAAATCATGGGATCTTAGCTGAGGTGGGCTAAGGGGATTTTCATCTGCTGCATCTAGTTACTTTTAGTGTTTTTAGTGGAATTTGGCCCACTTAGCTCTGTTCCTTGCAGGAAGAATTATGTGAATTCTAGTGTGGAAGAAGAATAAATAAGAAGAGCTATGAAAATGTGCTAGAGGAAGTGTCAGTATTACTTTTCTACTCTTTGACAAAATACTTATTTCCTGTGAACCATTTTTTAGTGAGCCAGAATTCGCTCAACAATATAGCAAAGTTATTTTTGATAATCTAAACATAGAGTTTTGTTGTTGCTTTTTCTTCCTGTCCAGTAATTGTGTTTGAGTGAAGGACACAAGGTAGTGTGAGTGTCAAAATAGTTTTAACCATAAAAATGATAGTGTAAGGTCAGCAGTATAATGTCTAAAGAGAGGGCTTATCACTGTTTTTTTAAGACTAAACTTGACATCTCATTCTTACAGTTAGAATGCCTAGAATTAATGATTTTGATAGTATGTCTTACGTACAATAGCACTAAGAGTTGTCATATAATCATCAGCTCCTCACTGAGGTAAGATTAAAGTAGCTAGAGACAGTTGCAGTGTTCGCAGCATACAAACTCAGTATTACACATGAACATAGATCTATTGTCTTGAAATAATCATATATTCATGTGTGATGAATGTATTTTTGAGTGTTAAGGCTTAGAAATCTAAATTAGTTTCCTCAAGGTTGGCAAAAACTGGTGAAATACCAGTGCTGATGTGTTTGTTTTACAGCTTTTTACTGTGTCTCAGGGAGGCAGCATAGAGCTATGTTGACAGATTTTTAGTATTTATTTTCTTACTTAGACTGAAATAAAGTTACGAGGGTGATAGTAACAATACAGTGTTGAGAGAAAACTAAGAAATTTTAAAATAATTCTGTGTTCCTCTCCTTAGGCTTCCCAGAACACCCTAAATTCCATGTGGTATATGGAGGTTGGTTGCATCAAAGTTCCCATTTCAATGTTTGGAGCACTGTGTCTGAGCGCTGATGCAAAAACTAGAAACCAGCACTAAACTTATTTAGAGTTGCTGCATAACTTTTTGTGCTCATTGAATGAGTAATTGGCAATTTTGCTTTGGCTTCATGGCTCAAACACGCTTACTAAATATACATACTTGTTACTTTTGCTTTTCTTTTGTTACATTTACTGCAGCATGCAGTGTTTGTGCTGTGGGTGGCCCTGTATTATGAGTACTTGCCTTTCTCCTTTAGCTGCCATTAGCTAATGCAAATACATTACAATATTATAGCCTATTAGTGAGATTTAAACAGCCAAGCAATTTATGAAACCTTGCTGTGCAGGTGAGAGAACTTCGAGAAAGAGCAAAGGCTTACAGGCAACGAGTGGAGGGAACACACTTCTCCCGATACCATCTCAACCAGATCCTGTCAGATAACAACAGTCTGTGGGATGTGTCCTCAAATTCCAGTTCAGAAGAAGGCATCAGCAACAACATCAGAGCCCTAGATCTTGCTGGGTAAGGTCGTAATTCCTGCCTATTATTCTCTAGCTTTGAAACAGAGCAAAATGCTGCATATAGGCTTAGCCTAACTGTGAGAACTTGGATGTATCAAGACTTGGACTATATTCAAGATGCGATTGGACAGGGTGCTAGATAATCTCATCTAGGCTCCCTTTCCCCAAGGCATGTTGGACCAGATAGTATTTCGAAGACCCTTCCAACCTGGGCTGTTCTACATTTCTGTGACATGTAAATTCTCCAGAACAGATGAAGGTACTTAACTTTTCTCAGATACATTAGTTGATTTGTGCACAAATTGAAAATGAGGCACAGTCCAAACTTCTGAAAGAAAAGAAAATTACTTGTTTATAATTCTCCACAAATGCATATTTAGTGTGGCAACCTTAGTCTCATAAAATCTGGAGGAATTTTGCACTGAGTCATACTGAAGTAATACTCTTCTTTCCACTGGAATAATATGAAATACGTTTTGCCTGCTCAGATGTTATCAATATTCTTGTCAGGATTAACTGATCTTGTGGTTGAATCTTAGACACTCTTTAGTTCTGAGATGAAGACTTAGGAACTGGAATGGTGTACATCCACTTTCTCATTTCCTTGAAGGCCATCAGGGTTGGCAGATATTAAAAAAAAGAGGAAAAAAAAGCGCCATTTGTGTCTCCTTTGAGATCTGATATTTAAAAGCAGTGCCTTGGATGCCTTTGTCTTCAGTCCACTTAGACTGCTGTATACTCACTATTTGTCTTGTGTGTGAGGAAGAGATCTATCCATTTGCATGACACTAGCTCTAATGGGGGATGACATGTAAAAGAGTATTTATTACAGTATAATATGTGATATTAAGTATGGTGTAAATTTTTTGGTTTACTGGTTTGGTTTTTGCCTGTGAAATACAGATCCTCTTACTGATCTCATTTCCATGCACTGGGCTAATTTGCACTGATTCCTGTGATCAGTTGGGAGTTTAAGGGTTTCAAAAGTTGGGCTTAAAGAAGAGGCTAAACTGCTTGGCGCAAAATTGTGCCATCAGACATTCCCTATGCATAGAACTAGTTATTTTTTGAGCACTTCTGATAATCTAACTTGTTGTTTAAATTGGGAATAGAGCCCTAATTTTACATTCAATTTTTGGAAATGGTAGTCCAGAAAGAGTTTTCACAGAATCTAATTTGAAAAGGGGTTGTGCTTAAACATCAGTTAAAACTTCAGTGGAAGTTTAACCATACGTCATGTCAATTATACCACTTGTTAATATCTGAGGTGTAATTTTGGCAAAGGACTGATCTGGATGAACATGTTCTACATAGACAGACACGTGTATGTCGTGCAAATCAGTGGTATGAAACACTGCTTGCTTTGTTACCTAGAGTTTCTGAAAAAGACACTGCACCAAGCCCCAAAATGCTGCAGCAACCTGCCCCCAAAGAACAACCCTGCCAGGACAGCACTGAGAAGAAAGACATGTCAGATGCTTTAACTGTTCCAGTCAAAAGGCATTTAGTTTGGGGTGAACAAGAAGGTACCGAAGAAGGGGAAAACCAACCACCAACAGAGGAGGAAGAAAACCGAGATGAACAGGCTGAAGTCATGGCTCATCAGTTAGAAGAAAACAATAAGGATGCCAATGAAGACAAAAGTGAAGGGTAAAACTGAAGGTTTTTTGTGATATATACGTAAAATTTTTTTCTCAACCATCTCAGAAACCTGTGTGTTAACTAATTTTTGGTTTTAAATCAGATTTACTTAAGAGTGTGTAAGTTAATGTGACGCTATTTTTGTTTTTAACAGTATGATAAGGAATGAGAAAGTTCAAGACATTGAGCTGGTTGATGGAAATGGATCTGTCATTAAGAATACTGGATTTCTAACTTGCAAGACAGAAGTTTGTAGAAGCATGAACAATTCTAATGTTTTTTTTCCAAAATTTTAAAATTTCCAAAATGAGCCTCTCAGAAGAGGCTATTCATTACACAGCAGCTAAGTGTAGTGAAAATTAAAGCTCACAGTTTGCTTCAAATAGACAGCATAGGATTGATAGGACTGAAAGGGTAGAACACATGCTAATCTTGTGCTCAAGCATCTGTTTTTCTTAAAAAAATAATGGGCAAAGATAAAGGACTTGGGAGAAAAAAGTAGCATCCAGTGATCACTGGTGATGATGTTACTGAGCACAGATGGGAAAAAGGTGAAGGAGTATTTAGAAATAATGAATGGTCAATTCATTATGTGCGTAGTACAGTGCATAGTGCTGTATTTGATAGTTGAAAGATCCATATTGTATGTAGTTAGAGAAGTCTCTGGGTTTTTACTGTGCAAGTTTTGCATACTTTTTTTGGTAGAACAGTATTTTAGTTTGATAGGTATTTAAATCTGAATAGCTTCAGCCCTTGTTACCATATCATCTAAACATTTTATATTCCTCATTGAGTTTTATCTTTGATGTTACAACATGAATCTAAGGTAAGGAATTGTATTTGTCTCCCTTGTGGATAATACCCTGTATACAAAACCCAGGCAAAGAAAGGTTGAGATGCTAGACTCAAATAGAAATTAAATGTAGGCTCTCAAAACTGTCACCCTGAAAACCTTCTTGAGTATATATCTAATTCTAGACATTATCTAGTTCATGTGTGTGTCTCTGATTGACACTGAAGATTTTCTGTCGTCCTGCAGTGTGTCTCTGTGTATGCTGAGATCTGCTCTGGACTTGGCCATGCAGGGTAGCTTAACACTTGCATGTTACCTAAGCCTGCCTGAGAGCTAGAAATGTGGCATTTTTTTGCCTAAGTGTCCTCAGAGCATGTCTAGCACATACTGATAGGATCAGGTTCCTTGCAGTGTGGGTATGCCGTCACCTCCTTTTGAAATGCATCTGGAGGAAGAAGACAGAAGTGGTAATGCTGATTTATTTAATAACCTGGGGGCTAGAAGAGCGGTTACATAAATGTGGGATATTTGGTTTCAGTTCCACCACATTGACTGAAAATAGTCAAACCCACATTCCCACCTCTAAGGTGGCAACCAGGTTTAAAGTTTTTCTGGGTGAGTACTCTTTCCAGCCTTCCCATTGAGTCTCTGCTCCTGTGCAGCTATACATTCAAGGTTTATTGGTACAGAGGGAGCCTGAATCTGCAGCATGAGGCTGTTTATGTATTCTATCCAGTTACAGAAAAAAAAAAAACAAAAACAGCAAACCACAAACTGAGGCTCAAGGTCTGGAATCCAGGCCTGCCCATTGCAAGAAGATGTTTTAGCTACAGGCTGTTGGTGTTTTATGGCCCTAACTGTCTTGCCTTAGGCTTCATTGTAGGAATGTAATAGAAACAAAATGCTAGAGTGCAAGACTCCTGAGTCCTTAGCTAATCCTTTAATCATAACTCATTTTTTTTTTTCAGTGAGAATGCATTAGTGTTGAATTCAGCTGTGTCAGAGTCTTCTTCTGTATCCTCAAGGACAGGTGGGAGGCTTCCTACTCCAAAGCTGAGAGCACTTGGTGGAGCTCAGAGGACTCATCATGATCTCACTACCCCAGCTGTTGGTAAAAAGGCTTTTCAATGCAAAGCAGTATTTCAAGAACTAAAGAAAAAAAAGACATATATGAATTAATTTATTAGGTTATTTAAGGTAATAAAGCATTTTTCATCTTTTCCACTACAATAGGAGGTGCGGTTCTAGTGTCTCCTCCTAAATTCAAGTCTTCGTCTTCACAGCGGAGAACACGAGGTTTGGGAACAGACCTTTCTTCAGCTAAACAAGGTGCAAGAGAAGCTGCAAAAAGAAGGTCCTTCCGGGTGAGCCAGAAAAGATACTTACCATTATGCATTGTAGGAATGTGCTTATTAAGTAATTCTGAATAATTTATTAAATAAATATTTTCCTGGAGTTGTCATTTACTATTCTAAAATTCTCATAATCTTTGACTAAAAAAGGCCAACCTCTGAATAAATAGTTTTTTTGGAGGTATCAAGGAAAGGAGTTGAGACTGTTGGAGTGAGTTTGGATAAGCTCCATTTTGGCTTTTCCTGATAAATGCAAAGGATCTGTTTAAAAAAAAAAATTGCCATCAGGAGCTGTTGATTTCCTCATTCATGTTACTGTAGCTTGCCACTGACATAGGGCACAGCTTCAGATTCCTTGACTTGAAAGAAATTTAAGGAGAGGTTAGGTGCCTATGTACAAGATAATAGTTTTATTCTCTCTTTACTTTTGTGCTTCTTTTACTTTGCAGTTTGCATAGTTACTAAAAGAAAAATAGAAACATTTAGGAGTTGTTTAACTCTCTTCCTCTCAAAATTGTGTTTTTTTTTTCAAGTTGTGCTTAGTCTGTGTTCTACAAAGACAGCTAGCATTTCATTGCATACGTCCTTTGTAGTAAGTTCTGTAATAGAAGCAGACACAATTGCATGAGAAATTGGTTACATTCTTTTAAAATCTTAGAACACAGTTTTTTTGCTACGAAGAAAATAAGCTTTTGGTTTGACCTGACTAGATTACTTTCAGACTATTTTAAACACTTGTTATTAGGAATAGATTTTCTTTAAGCTGTCTCGGAAGCTTGAAATACTTACTCTTCCAGTACCCTCATGAGAAAGTGTAACAGTGTAAACATTTGCTGCATATGTGAGGTCTGTACTGGAAGGCTGTATATGAGATGTTGGAGTTTTGTTTTTTTGTTCCCCCCCCCCCCCCCCCCCCCCCTTTCTTTCTATTATGTTTTAGCCTGATGTAGAAGTGGAAGGTGTTTCACTCCTTAACTCTCCACCTGCTGGCCTGGGAACTTTGGATCCTCTGCCACTTAGGCAGGATCAGTGGCCTCCTAACAGTGTTTCTGATGAGCAAGTTCCTCTTGCTTCAGCCCACCAAGAGCGTTCCTCTACACCTCCTGTGCTGAAGTCAGCCAAAAGCTGCTCTGTGCCTTGCTGGAGTCCCTCTCGTCGTATTCAAGGGACTCTGAAGGATCCTGAATTCCAGCATAATGGTGAGTTTTGTGTATTAACTGGCTGTGTTAAGAGTGCTGCAGGATGGAAATGGATATTGTACATACAGTGTTCAGGCCAACAGAGTGCTGAGCTTGCTGCCTTGCAGACTCTACAAAGAATGTGTTGTTTGTAAACAAAAGCTTTTCTACTATATGTTTAGTTTTGCTGAGGAAATGTGCACAACTCTTCACCTTAGTTTCAGATTCCACTAATACAATAGTATTCTAGAGGTGTGTTGTCTAATTTTGCCTTATTAATTTCAATAAATACTTACTCATTATGAGAATAAATTGGTTTAGCATGAACAGTTGTAATGTTTAATCTTTAGACTACAACTGGATGCTGTGACACTTTTCCAGCTGCAATTACCAACAGTGGTGTGTAACTGGGGACCTTTATAGTGTAGTATTTTGCAGGAGTTGTGGATTTCTGAGAGATAATCTTCTTAAATATTTCTGCAGGATATGGAAACAAAAAAGCCATCTATAAAATATTTATTGGATATTGAGAAACGATATCTGATGGCTGAGGACGAATTTGTGCTGAAACATTTCAAAGATTTTTAACAATATTTAGGGATACTGGCAGCATAAATTTGATGAAGAAAAGAATTCTTCACCCCTTGGTCAAAATAAAAATTCATGTGCTTAAATCTCTATTCCAGAAAGACTTCCTGTAGCTGCTTAAGGTCTCACAATTCTTGACCTTTTTGTTATAAAGATTAGCTTTATTATAAAGGTTAGCTAAACTAAAGTAGTATTTCTATTCTAGAATGGAACAAGTAGTTGTCAGGTTAAGTGGGATGGTGAAGTGTGGAGAATTTGGAAAGAGGTTAGAATTGGTGCTGTGTTCTACTTCTGCATCTCAACTGCAGTTCACTAAGTAACTTTTATCATGTACCAAAGATAGGTGCCTTCAGAAGAATACAGTGGAGTAACTTTATTTTACCTCAGCTTAGAGTAAAGGAGTCTCATGGAGTTGTTGGTATGTTCGCTATTTATGAGACTCATGTTACCACTTTATTTCCAAAACATATTTAAGTGTTCTAAAATGAAATATTATCCTTTGTTTATTTTGAAATGATTCAAAACTGTGCCTTTGCCTTTTTGTCTTAGGGAATGTTGGCAGTCCAAGAATGAAATCTTTCCAGTTACCCCTTCAGGAAAGAAATTATAATGATGAAGGTATTTCTTGTTCCAAAGTATTATTGTATATCATGTGTATATTACCTAGATTAATTTTAACATTTGCACTAATGTGAGAGGTTTCTGAATGCAGTAAGTAATACTGGTTTATGTGTTTGCATGAATAACTACGCCATGGTTTCATCAAAATAAGTTGAAAATGTTCATCCTAGTAATCTGGAGTAAGAACATGAAGGTATATTCGAGTATGAATAAACCATTACATGCAGCTGAAAGTTAGATAGACTGTTGTGGCTCCGTAGGGTTACTATAGCTTGCTCAGTTCCATGCCTAAAATTGTTTCCTCTACACACATTTTTTAAGCCTTTGTGTTGATAGCAACAGAAGCAAACTGCAAAATGATCACAGCCCAGGTTGCAGCTGCAGTAACTTTGGATGCAATTTAAAAGGTATCAGAAATCTCAAGATAAAGGTTTTGCTTGTGAGACTTCAGCACCAGATATGAAACATAAAATTATTCCTCTGCCTTTATTTTTCACACCTGTTCCTCTGCTCAGTTTATTAGGGTATTAGCATCCTGTTATTCTGATTGCTGGTTTGGCCTTTTTTTTCTGTTTACTGTGAAGTTAATCTCGGGGAGCAGGCAGTGCACAGCCCACCAGTGCATCTTCATGGCCCTTTTGCGGGCAGACACAAATCAACTCTTTCAGTAGCATGAGTCAACCAAAGGCACTGTAGCCTCATTAGCTTGAGCTGCTATGCATTGTTTCTTAGCACGGTGTTTGAGGTTGAGTTTGGTGTGGTGCTGTGCTCCTCTCAATCTTATGTGTTTGGTTCAGATTAGATTATGGGCAGAGCAAGTTTATATCTGATAGTAATTTATTTATAGATATACCCCAGAGCAACCAAAAGCTTTTTTTCTGTACCCCCTTACGCTTGTTTGCTCCTTGGTTTTGACCAAGGTTCAGGCTGATTCTCTATTTTACTCATTGCAGTTGACTGGAAAATGTGTGGGTTGTGCAGATGGCTCAGCCAAGCATCTGTATATCTACATAAAACATGCAAAATCCTATAGTACTCTGCATCTTCCCACAAGCTTGCTGCACACAGATTAAATGCTGTAACTGCTGTTTCTTTTTCTTTTTTTTTCCTGTGAGCTGAGTGATGATGTATGAGCTTTCAAAAACAGGTGCAATGTGCCAGCTCACAGATATTTCATATGCCCATATTTGTTCGTGTACATACAAACCTGGGAGTTATTCCAATGTCATGTCTGTTTGCAGAAGTGCAGTTAGCAGTTTTCTCATACATGGGAATCTAGTTGTTACGCATAGAGTGTGAGCCTGTTATGGGCTGTTTGGATTGCTGTGTTTCAAGAATTTAGAACTGCTGCTAAAAAGTTAATTGAAACGCTGACAAAGTCCTGTTACGATTGAATTGTGGAATTTTTTTTTTTTTTTTTTTTTTTTTATTGGTAGAGGGGACTGGAAAGTAGTGATACAGTTCTTTTTAATCCATTGCAGGAGAATGGCTGTAATTAAGGTTATTTTTCTTAGAGAGCATCTTGACAGAGTTGTAGCAACATTTTAATAATGATGTTAAAGAAGTACAGTATTGTGCTTTATCAGAGAAGCAGCATCCAGGCTGCTGAATTTTAAGAGTTCAGCTGGATGTGAAGTGGACCCTGTATTCAAAAGGAAGACCTTTCAAAAGCACATTTTTAAAGCATGCTTCATGTTGTCTTTGTGTAAAACTTCCTGTTTTCTTCAGAAGACACATTTCTTTTAACAGCTTGTGGCACAATAGCTGGGTTTGGCACAGAAGGGCTCTTTTGGCAACATAGGTTCTGATATTTTAGTCACGTGTTATTCTGGAGTTGTCTACTTTGCTTGAGGTGGTGGATTGTTTTCATGAATATGTTATTATCAGAGTCTAGTGTATACAGACTTCAGTGGCAGAGGAATGATTTCTGAGGTCTTCTGACACAGGAGAGTAAATGTAAAGATGACTTGGAGAATCGGCCAATTTCCAGGTGACAGCACGGATCTCATTCTGGAGTTTGTTAGGAGTTGGACATGTAGCTCTCTTAAACTTACCTAGCATCCTAGTAGCTTTCTAGTGAGATTCTCTTCCAGCATGTCACTTCCCAAGTAATAGAAAGAAAGTGTATTGTGGTACTATTTTAGCATCCATTGTGAAGGAAGGCATAAAAATACTTGCGTTTTCAGAGTCTGCCATGAATGTCAACTGTGTTTCAATACGTAAATTTAATCTTCCTATTTACTTTTTCTCTCGTTGCTTTCCCCACAGATGATAGGTTGTCTCAGATTTCTGCTCGCTCGGCAGCATCTAGCTCGCTTGCATCTCAGATACTGGAACGAGCTCAGAAGAGGAAGGATTTCTGGGGCAAGACATAATCTTTTCCGCCTGTTGTATAGAAACTGTTCTGTAAAATGATATATTTTTTTTACAGTTTGTAGTGTACATTTTTAAAAATTGTGATTATAGATATCATGCAGCATCCTTTCACCTATTACTAATACGGCCCAACTTTTAGGACTTTCCATCCCTATTTAAAATTTCAATATTTAAACCAGTGTTGAAAATGTAGGTCCTTATATCTGAGGATGTCTTTATTCACCATGTCACAAAAACCATGTGGGGTTTTATTTTTTTTTTTACAGTGGCACCTCTTGAAACTGAAATAAATTTTTTATGCAACCCGTGTGTTACTTTTCAAGGTATTCTGTTGCAGTCATTCAGTATGACCTGGGACAGTATTCAGGGGCAACACCATCATTCACCAAACACCTCAGCTGCTTGATTTCAACCAGCTATCTTAAAGGCAACTGTGGTATATTTGTTTATGGTACTGTATGAATTGTCAGTACGACCCAGTGCTGTAACAAAAAGTTACTTTTTCTACTCTCTTCTTTTAATCTTTTACCAGAAGATTCTTACTATTACTTCGTGAAGCTAACATGGAACACACAGGAGTTTGAGAAAAGGACACTAAGGTTTAGAGTTTGTTCATTGTCCGCAGTTTTTTACCCAGGATACCTATTAGAGTTCAATGCATACAGTAACGCAGTTTGTCAGATGTACTGACATGAACATTTGTCTTTTTGTGGGCAAGACCTGTGTTTAGTGTTAACTTCAACTTCTCTAGAAAAAGCAACCTCAGCCACCTTAAACAGTGGCCTTCCCCAGCCCCACTTCAAACTCAGGTATTTAGGAGTAGTTGATCTCGTGAAAAAAACCTGAGTTTACTTTTTGACAGTTTAATTACCTCTGCTTCTAGTTGCCTGTTTCTGGGAGACTGACACACTGTTACGATTGTCACAGTGAAAAATGTTTGTGATTTATGCTGACAGCTTGTTTTACCTTTCCAAGCAATGCAAATAAGTTAACGTGAAATAGAGGAAATAGGTGTCTAGCAGGCAGTTTGGTTCTTCTTGTGTGGCTTCAAGGTTTACTATTACTTCATTTGGAAATTTTATACAAGAACAATTTGAATTTTGTATACATTTGATTGCATTTCAATTTTGTACACAATTATGTATGCATATTACTGAAAATAAAAAAGGTTGTTTGATTTGTTTCTATTCAAGTTATGCCAGATAAATTGGTACAGCCTATTATGTTGGCACTTACCTGTTTAGTTCTCCATTTTACCTGCTCGCCTGGAATGTCTGTGGACTTCTGAAAAACAAAATGTTACCTTGGAACTGATCTTCAGAAGGAGTAAGTTACTAAAGCTAGATATGTTGATACTTGCAGTTGTGTCTGGCTACAGATACTTGGAATTGTGACCCAGAGCAGATGAGTGCTACACAGGCTGGAAGGCTGCAATGCCCAGAGGGCCAGTCCCCAACAAATAAGGTGTTGGTTTAAAGAGTGAGTGCTATCCAGCACTGATCATGTTAGAAAACAGTGTTCACTTCTTCAGGAAATTGTGCATTGCAGTAGCTTCCTACCAGTGGAGTTGTTTGACACAAATCAAGGTATTTTATTTTATCTTGAGGACTTCTGGGATTATTCTGTGGAATGCACTTAATATGTAAGTTATAATTGGTCAGAAGGTTACTACTGAAAAGGGACTTGTATTGGTGTGCAACAGCTTTTATGAAAATTGCCAGTTTTCCTCTAAAATTATAGTTTTTAAATGGAAAACTTAATGGCTAAAAAATGGAAATATTTTTGTTTAGGAGGAAATGTTGCTGCCCTATATTGCAGGTGGATTAATTCGGGTGTCTTCATGTTGAATAGGAAGATTGTAGACAGTTTTCATGGCCAAGAGCTCTCATCATCCATTACTTCTCTATGATACCTGTAATTTGAGTTTTAGGAAGTGTGTCCTCTTTTAATTCTTTTATTTTGCCTGGGATTCCTGGCAGCTCTGTTAGTTTTTGTGAGGCCTAAGTCATAGATACAGCAGCATATGTGCCAATTTTGCTTAGAGTACTGCACCATGAGCCTGGTGCATCTGGGTAGCTCTGAGTTCGTTAGATGTGTGCTGTTTGGTACGTGTGTATTGATTTCTGCCAGAGAGACAACAGACATGGTAAAGGAGGGAGATGTTTTTGTTGGATGGGGGTATAAACCCAATTTAGAGAGAAGAATGGAAGCCCCTGGTGTTCCACACATCATCATGACATTATTTCCCATCTGAACAAATTTTAGGTTTTGCCTGAAATGTTCTAATTGGATTTACTTTTGAACAGAAGTATTTAAGGGAAATGTAGACAAAACACCTCTTCTGAGTCATGCTACTCAGTAGTTCAAAGCTTCTGAAGGGTGCTCTTCTATAGTCATCAAGGCAAACATAAAATGTTTTCTGCCTGCTCTCTGCTATGGTTATCTAGTTCAGGAGGGTTTTTTGTTTTGTCTTTCTGAACATTTCAGACCAACCTTCAAACATGTTTCCTGTTATGTTTTCCAGCAAGCTGAACATGGAAGAAGGTTCAAAAGGGCACCCTTTATTAATAATTACAAGTGCGTGCTATACAGTGAATGTGTATTGTTTTCTGTCAAGGAAATCTTAGAAGCCTTGGAGTGGAGGGACCAAGTAGATGAACAAGGAGGAAGGCAGTTGCCAATAGGAGATACATCTAAGGAATAAACAGCTTTGGGAGCTTGTCGACTGAAGGTCAAGGTTTACAAAACCAGCACATTAATAATGGACCCAGTCAAATGTTGAATTGAACGTCTTCATCTGCTGTTCCCAAGTTGGGTATACCTGCTGGGTGAACCTCGCTGCTGGGGGCTCACGGCTCTCAATCACCTGTACAAGTAAATAAGCTGACTCTTCCTCACTGACTGCTGCCAGCTGGGAAAAGGCTTTACTTTACGTGATACTCCTGCCAATAAAGCATTCCCCCAGCAAGCCCACAACGAGCAGACTTGATTCCGGTCTGCCACTTCTCAAAAACTCCCCATCTTGCCAGATAATAAGCCAGTTACCCGTCCGTGGGAATGAGAAGTGATCTCTTTCTTCAGCTGAATCTTTTTTTGGATGAAAATGGTGGCCGAGGGGTTGAAACAAAGATCTCCGTATTCCCAAAGCTGTGCTCACTCTAGCATCCTCCTCCTCCTTCCTCTGGCCAAATCACTCCTGGACTGACATTAGCAGGAGGGATGAAGCACCTTTCTCAGCACTTGGGCAATTACTCCAGGGAGGTTTGGATGCACCTGGGCATGAGGAGAGTTTTGAGGATTTAGGTAAATGCTTACAATAGCAGCAAGGTAGTGTTTAGGCACTTGCATCCTTTTATTGCTCTGGGCTTTCATTTCTTCTCAGAGTCTCAATTTCCAGTGCCTTTCACAATGCATTAGCCTTCTCTGCTTAAAATGCTTAATTACCCCTGAAACTCTGGATTGAATGGTTTGAGAAGAGTCAGTTGGGGCTTTCCAACTCTGCCGGGAAGTTTGGGACAACATCTGGAATTGTGGAAAATCCCATCCAATTAAAAAAATCTTGCTAAAATGTGTTACTTTTGCAGTAATATTTTGTGTTACTTTCAAATTTTAATGCCTTACTGAGGTGAATTCTGAAACTTAACGTGAAGTATATATTAATGTTGTTAACCTTACAAATACAAGCAGTCAAGTTTCTTTAGCCATCAGAGCTAGATTGCTTTTAAGGAATGTGTAGGCAACAAGGCATGTTTTTGGGACATACAGTCCCAAGGCTGCCCAGTGATACTTAAGTCACTGTGGGTATGTTATCATATAGGGATTTTTCAGCCTTTTTTGAGGACTAGATCCATATGTCTTCTGTATTGCTCATATGGTTCCCTATGTAGCAAGTAACAACCTCCTGAAAACAGGGTTGCCTTCAATGATGCTTTGCAGGTAGCCTGAGTTCCCTGGGACCTATGGGCCACAACCTGAAACCCAGTGTATGTTGCAGAAAGGTGAAAGGAAGCAAAGTTACTTACCAGCCACCAGCTTTCTCCTTCACTCACAAATTCGTCAAGTCCAGATACTAAGATGTTTTCCTTATCTGACTCTTGGTGTCATCGCTTTCTGGAAGATAGCAGTGGAGGAAAAAGAGATTCCCAAATACAATCTGTAATACTCGACGAGCAAATCTGTAGTACTTGAAGACAGGGCAGGAAGCACAGCTTCTTTGAACAATTTAGTGTGCTTATTTGCATAATGCCATATTGCTTCATTACATCTGCCTGTTCCTGCAAGGCTGAACTGGCACCTAATGTTCTGGTGTCAGAGCAGTTCTTACCGTCTGGTAGCATTTGTCAGCAAAGAGCCCCATCGCCATCTGATGCAAGTGGAAGTTTGCTCTGCCCTTGTTGACCAGCTTTTAGCGTAGCCTGAAGCAGATTTGTTCTGTTACCCAGATGCACACAAATGTGCGATAAAGAAAACAAACCAAACAGTAATTTTCATGCAAAGTGACCTAAATTAATATCCTGATTCCAGCAGTTAGTCAAAACTTTACAGACAGGAGCCTCAGGAAGAGAGAGGGGGACGGTGGGGCTGCAGTTAACTCTTTGGGGCACAGTCAGTTCTTTGGCTTTGCTCTGCATCGAAACCCTGTGGGAAAGTGTTACTCACACAGCAGTGATCACACCAAAAGCAAAATCTGGGGAGAGGATAGTGGATGATAGCTAGCCAGAAAACCAGTTTCTTCAAAGTCCAAGTTTTGTTTTGCTTTTTGATCGGAGCTTAACGTTGTGACAAAGAAGAAACATCTGGAATTCCATGTTAAAAACGTGAATGAGCTTCCTAAGTGCTTGGATACTCACTGCAGTTCATCTGTGTTGGATGTGAGCTGACCTTACGAGTTTTGTTCTGCAGGCTGTGTTCTAGAGAAGCTCGTGGACCGGTTGGGCCCTGCCTAGCGTATCGGACCTTGGTGTGCCAAACGTGCTGCGTGTGGAACAAACCCTGAGAAACTCTGAAGGATGGCACTCGGTGAACCTGCAGCATCTTGTTAGGGTGGAGGACTGAGAACCTCCCAAGAGTCACCTGGAGACCGGCAGTCCTTTGGGAAGGCGAGCAAGGCCTGATAGTGTTTATAGCTTACACACCTTTTGTTGGCTCAGTGGGGCTTATGGGGCTGGAATAAAAGTATAAGAGCAAAAGCACTCATTTGCTGGTATGAGCTTGCTCTTTGAAGGGCTTTTGGTGGTACAGTTGTGGCAGCAAATCCTTAGTGCAGGCAGTTCTTCAGTGGAGGGGAAAAGGACAACTGAAGCTTCTCACTCCCCACTTTCTTCGGAGGTCTTGATGAAGTCTTCTGGTAAGAGTGCATCAGCTTTGTAAATGTGACTGATCCACATATATGCCAGCTAACCTTTCCTGAGGTAACTAAGGCAGTGACCTGAGCTGATTTTGTGTGGGTCTCAAAGCTTTTCCTTTAAACTGTGTTTATATCTGATATACACACGTACGTGTGTCTGTGTATGTATTTACGTGTGTGTATATATATAAAAAGTAGGTTTTTATTCAAAGTGACTTAGTTTAATACTGTCATGTTCTGGGGTATCTCTAAAGCACCTACATCAAGACTTGAAGTAGAATAGGAATGGCTGACAGGATCCAGAAATCCTGTACTTCTGTATTTCTCCCTTCCTAGGTTCTTTTCTGGTCGCTGGATTCATGTGACACGCACGTACAGGCATCTGTGGCTGCACCCTGTTCTGGAGAGGTGCGTGCCCATCTCTCACCCCAAGATCTCTTGTGGGGCTGGGGGAAACCTGCTGAGTCTTGGTGCCCCCTAGCTGGAGTGGGTCCCTGAGTTTCCAGAACAGTGCTCTCGTGAGGAGCACGCTCTTCGTGTTTCCACTTGGAAGCTGGCTCCAGCCTGTTTACATATTTTAGCTTACACAATATGTGGCTAAAAACAGATAACCCAGGAAAACAGCATCCTAATTGCTAGGCTGTAGCTATTTTGTTTGGTCTCCTCTTGGCCCCATAAATCTCACGTTCTTGACAACAGTCTCCCTCCAACAGGAAACTCGTTGACTCAGAGGCTCTCCTGGGCAATAATAGCCTAACCTTGGGCTGGGAAGGGCTGGCACATGGACTGTTGACTTCCTAGGAATGGATACTAACTAGAAGACTACTGTTAACAACATGGGAACC